ATGTACAATATTATCATTATTATTATTAACGGCGTGCGTGGATATGACGAGCGTAGAAAAAAAACTGTTAACAGTAAGACTAATTTAAATAAATTCGCGGTGTGCGTGTCTGAAGTGTGTGCACGCGTGTATGTGTGTTTATGTATTTTTTACGTTCTGGTCAGTAGGTCATCCACGACATCTGTAGCCGTCATGCGATGGTCACATTTCTATTTCTATTGTGATCGCGGTTATAACAAAGAACGAGGCTAGTGACCCTCTAGCAGACCTGGCTGGCCAGACGGCAATAGAAAGTAACGTGCGCGCGCGTATTCCACCGTAACCATGCGCCGCTGCAGTAAATAATATTATATATATATATATATATATATATATATATACATTATAATGATGACGTGGGTGAACCTGCACTCTGCAGCGATGGTAGCTCTGGTCGGCTAGTGATTTTCTGAACCTACGTGGTGCGTGTAGCATTCAAGGGATGAGGTTAGGTCTGTGGAGGAGTGGATTCTATCCCTCCCCCACCACACCCCCAACATATCTCATTCCGTTAACCATCATAGTTCTAAATAATCACGTCACTTAAAGTCGATTTTCCTAGTAAGTGTTTTTAAGTAGGTAAATCGCGTTGAATATTTTTCGACTCTGAAACGAGCGTTGCAGAAACGTAAAGTATACATAGAAATTTAACGGTGAACGTGTAAAGATTGAGTGCAATATGTAAAATACTGTGTTGTAACCTGTAAGTGATCAATGCAATAATACATTAAGTATAGTAGGTTTATTTTAATAGTTTTTTGTCTAAAAACATAGTGTTTATTATGCTACATGGCTACACCACCTAACGATATTAAAATAGTTTATATCAGCATATAGTTCATATTATTGAATGCAAATTTTGTAACCCACGGTAAAAGCTTCAGTATTAATGTATACAGATTGTAAATATTCTGTTTCACGATAGCAAAAAATAAAACACGTCATTCGGGTTGTAAACGCACATTGAACTTATTACCAGCAAAAATATTTTGCAAGCACGAGTCCCGCTGCACATTTATTTTACTCGTATTCGGGATACGCTATACATCGGTGGGGATGAAAAATGTTGAAATAAAATTGTAAACTGATATCCTCGAACAAAATATTTATCGTTAGCGCGCATCGCAGTAAAAGCTATTTCATATTATATTGCGGGCATAAAAGTAAAATATTAAATGCTACGTACTCGTTTGTAAGTTTAATATTATGTTGACTGATATAATATTATAGCTTTGTGAGGGTAAAGTATTTATGCGAACGCAATACACGTCATATTGAGTGTTTTCAGATGAAAACTCGTTTTACATACCGAGTTAGTGTGCGTAGTGTGTACATCAATATAACATGTACAAGTAATCTGGCTTAAAAGTAGATATAGAGCTTGTGCCCGATATTCACGCGAAACATCATCAGATTAAAATGAAATACTCATAATACATAATCCGAGTGCATGTCGACATGTCGTCGTGCACGGGGAATGTAAATATCCGTTTAGCGAAACAGCTGAGGATTAAAAACATTATTAGTTGACGGTTTTACTTACTGTGATTTTATTTCGAATTTTCAACGCGTGTCTTTCAATAGCTCCATTATACCTCACGATAAACCGTCATTGACTAAAAAAGAAAAAAAATTTTACATGTTTATTATATTGTGTAAATATCCCTATACACGATTTCTTCGTGTTGAAATTTATATTTTTTTTTTGTTTGGAAACCAATATTCTTTTTTTTCAATATAGTTTTTTACTTATTTTTAATTTCGTCGAAAAAATATCCAAGTAAAGAAATGCAGATTCAGAACATCAAACAGGAAAGAAAACAATGATGCGTATAGGATCATGGATTAGTTTCAAACTATGCAGTGTACAGTCTTATAATATTAAGGTTATAGAGTTTGTTTGTTAATTATTGCAAGAAATTTAAACCTAAACTTAATATAATGTGATATATAATTCAATTTACAGTTGAATAATGGCTAATATTAGACGAAATGTGAGTTCTTTGACTGCATTGGTAACAAAATTTGGAGCAACGCCTATAGAAATGCGTTAATTTAAACGGTGATAATGTAGAAAAATGACTTTATACATGTGCGAGTAGTACAATCTCTGGGAATTTTGTGAAAATAAATGCACTTTAAAATTATTAAATATGTTGTAACCATACTTTCCGGGCGACTCTCGTACTAATTCTTAAAAAATATATGTATTAACTTTTAAGTAAATACTATAAACAGTTTTACGTTACTTACTTTATTATTATTATTATTAATTTTTTTTAATATTTATCGAAAAATGAAGACTTGTACTAGTAAGTAGCATGTTATCCTAAAATCATAGTACAAGTACATATTAGTAAACCAGTAAAACACACTATGTTATATCATATTACTAATTACTATATATTATATAGGTAGGTTTTATATTTACACATACCGTAACACGCGTAAAACTATAATAAGTAATCAGGTAAATGTATTGTTTAATTTCTTGTTTGCAAAATTAATCACACAAACACGTATCAACTACAAAATCAAATTTTTATTCGGAAACATATATTATGTAGTATGTACATAACACATGCATTTACTATAAAATATTATCAAGTTTAGATGATAGGACAACCAAAAAATTGTAAATATATTTATCCACTATAATTCTTATGACTCTCATTTGAACTTCAAATTATTATAAGTATACGTTATCGGAATTTTAATAAAATTTTGTATAAAATATATGGAATTAAAATTTAAGCGAACTTCTGGAAATATGTATCAATGTATCATATTATACTAATATTAATATTATTCTGCATTTAAAGATCAAAACGCCTATATGTCATAAAGAGCGACAGGAATAGAATAGAATATGGTTTTTTCTATTTATTGTAATTTAGAAGTTTAAACTTGAGATTATTATTTTTTTTTTTTTTAAATACTCAAAATTAATGTCTTTGGAATTCATTTTATTATGGTGTGGGGGAAAGAAGGTAGATCGTGAAGTATTTAGACAAAATATAATCGTCTACTATTAGTAAATAGGTAATGATAATATATTATATGAGAGGAAACAACCTTAATCCGGCACTAAGTAAGACAAATGCTTATTCGGATCTAAAATAGGTTTCTACTGACTATTCATATATTACACACGAGTGACTAGAAACATAAAACCACAGGACTAGTGACTATACATAATGTATTATATACGTACATATCATCCAGCAGAATTATAATAATATATTATATACGAAAGGCATGGTGAAAAACAACAACCGAGATCAACGATCGTGATCGATCGGAAATCGTGGTCGTTTATGTATAACAATAATAATACATCCATATATTTATAAGCGCAACGGTGCAGTAAAGCAGGGGATTAATTGGCGTGACTGAGCATTTGTGTACGGTTATACGGAGTGATTCGTCTATCATTCTCGTTCCAATTTTTTAATTTAATAATGAATACTTATAGTGATAACATTTTTAAATTCTTGAGATATTTTGCACTATTTAAGAATGTGTCTTATGTGTACATTTTTTAAATTAAAATTCTCTTTAAACTGTAAATTTTATCATAAAAATATAGTTAATATATTTTTTTTTAATATTTAATATTACTAATTCAAAATTCAAACGAGTAATTTTTTAGTAATTAAAATGTTTATACAATTATACTACCTAAGCATAAAAGTGCTTAAAAATATAAAATATATATTGTAATGTCGGTTTTAATGTTGATTATGCTTGGATAATTTTTATAAATTATAAAATCCCAAAAATCAGATTTTGAATAATTCCGACATTGAAAGAAAAAGGGGGTAAGCATGCTTGGTGAGTCACTCTGTATGATATACTAACGACAAATGCGGCGTGTAATGAATAACGACACTGTTAATCATCACGGAGCACAGGAAGCGTGACATAAACCCTACAGACTAAAATATGATCCATACTATAATTTATAATACTAACCCAAAACACGACAACATATATTAGATACGCGAACCTATATCGACACGACGCGCAGAATATTAAATTATTATTATACTAGTATTTACCTACTCTCACACGTTCGCTCAACGTTGTCAGAAAATTTGATTAAATTTCTCCGGAAACGAACATTCGTAAATACACTGATACATACGCTGTGGCGAATTTGCGTGTTATAATTTGTGTACATAATAAACACATGCATGTTATGGAGGTCGAGAAGTGTTTAAAAATGCTATGCTGCGCCGATAATACCATACAGAGTTAGAACGTATAAAACGTTTTTTAATGTGTTTGACGGACTTTCTATGCAATAAAAATGATTACTTTAAATGCGATTAAATATTGACACAAACCGTTAGCAGTGCATAATTAATGAAGTGAACAAACAGTAAACATATCACGCATTATACGTACAATATATTATATCATAACGACATAACATTCACAACAATAATGTATTCGTACCGATCATAATACTTTTCTCAATTGTCTACGACGTAGAGCGGAAGCGGCGACACACGAAAGCATTTATTATCAATAAATAATAACGTTTTCAATTTTATTATGTCGAGACATGTAGAGAACTGTAGAAGTGTGTCACGTGTCATTAATTTTACATCCGATTATCATGTTATTGAAATCGGAATTAATTGTTAAGATTATATTATTATTTATTACACATACTTTTATATTATATCATATAAGTAGGTATTCGATATCCTACAGGTATCTAACATAACATGTTTATCTTCAGTGTTTCAGTATACTACCTAAATAGCTTGCAATTTTCATTTATCAATAGGCAAATTTTCCGATTAAGAATATAATACCGGACGAACTTCAATTGTCTTGTATACGTTTTATTTAGAATTCCTAATCTAGTGATAAGTATAATACATAGAAATCTGTGTATTATTGTTATTATTGTGCGTCATCATTAAAATCAATTATTTTTATTGCCACAGGCGCATCCGGAGCCAGGGATTCCGCGTGCCCAAGGATATGTCCTCAGGGGAGTTCTGAAGAACCGGTATGCGGTTCGGACGGTATAATCTATCCAAACGAGTGTGAGATGAAAAAGAAAACTTGCGGCAAAGGTGAAAATGACGTTAATCTATTGTTGTTGTTATCTACTGTTATTGTTACATATTATAATAATTATTATTTCTATTATTACGCTCGGCGATAATATACCATTATCGTCATTACTTATTATGTGTCCATTTAATCGATAATATCATAATCACACCGATCGCCCTCTTTTTTTCCCCTTTACTGCGTGTACACTGCAGGCATAGTCACAGCGGAGAGTTCAACGCAGTGTTTGCGGGCTTACGGATCGAATTGCGAACACCGTTGCGGCAAAGAACAGGACCCGGTGTGTGGTACCGACGGCCGAACGTACCTGAACAGATGTATGATGCAAGTGGAAATATGTAGGTTAGTACGCCGTATGATATAAATAAAATAACTTACAGCTGTCCGTGTACAACATTTCAGAGTACACAAACATACCTAGGGGATGAAAAATAATTAAAATATTAAAAACAATAAAATGTAAAAAACAATATAGTTAAAAATAACCCGACTAACCTAATATAAGTATTATATAATGTTACACACAATATGTACACAACCATGCACAAACGGGGTAGTCGACTGGTTTGATAAGCAAACGCAGAATACGTCATGGTAACTAAGAAAATAAACTTCACAGATACCTATTTACATCCTTTCAACAAATAGCATTTTTATCCTAAATGCCTATATTTACATATCTACACAAGGAAGTATTCTTAAAAAATATTATTCGATCTCAATAAAACGTCTCTAAACTACAGCCACGCCAGAAATATATTATTTATACGATTTTTATAATGATCATTATTTATACTTATACATTTTTAATTTATTAAACACTTATAATATTCAATTTATGTTTCTTCGAGACAATCGAAATACAATGTATATTATTAAATACATATCTAAAACACTCGATCTATCATTTATATTACGATGTAAATATTATTAATATTATTCACGTTTGTTTTGCGCAGGGTTGGCACGTCGATGTCGCACTTGGGACCGTGTAACAACATATCGGCCCATCGGGAAAACTGTCCGGTAAACTGTGAACAAGCGCCAATGGATGGACCAATTTGTGGATCCGACGGAAATGTTTACAGAAACACTTGTCAGATGAAACTGTTCACTTGCGGGTAAGAGCCTGGATACATTGCATAATATAAATTATGTAATAACATAATGATTTAATGATATATGTACGATCTATATTTACCGGAACAGGGTCATTCATCGTGTATGTTATTGATTATTATTAATTCATTTATTGGAATTTTGATTATTTAACTGCGATCGATAAAAACAATAAAACAAAATAGGTCGCTGCAGAATATTGTTACAGCGAATACTTCAAGTGCCTATATATTATATATTTGTCATTGAGTTCAACTTATTAAAAACGTTTAATTTTTCCAAAAACCGCGACTGAGATGAATATACTTGTACTATTGACATTTTAATGAACATAAGAGTATAATAATCATTTTTATGGTAGCCAAGGAGTGGTGAGGACGTCCAAGAAACATTGTCAGACGACCAGACACTGTCGGGAATCATGTTGGCGAGTGTCGAAGCCTACTTGCGGGTCAGACGGCAACATATACAGCAACGCGTGCCGGATGAAGTCCAAAAACTGTGGTAAGCACGTGTTCGAGGTGCCCATGGCGTTCTGCTTAAGCCAAGAACGTAATCGGGTCGGTTCAGCGAACGCGTGTCCAGTGAGTTGTGACAAAGAGAAAGACAGGCTGACATGCGGCTCCGATGGCAACGTATACCGTAGCGAGTGCGAAATGAAAATGCTCAACTGCGGGTGAGAACAGAATAAAACGAATAATGATTTAACCTGATCCGACAAAACTCCTTAAAATAGTTAATACTAAACCTAATTTATAGAGCAATTGTAAGTTTCTACACAAGGCCTAGTGGCGCAAATAGGGTGGTGCTTAGGGAGGAGGCTTGAGCCCCCGTCAATTTAACTCCCTACTTGCGCCTAGGCCCTAGTAGGTAAAATAATTATCTATGTAAGTTCCTATACCTAGTAATCATTTATTTATGATGATTGGAATATGTAGCATGGATTAGGTACCTATTAAAGGGGCGGGAATTCAAAATGTATTTTTGTAAAAATTTTCAAAATTGAGTTATGTTTCGATTCTCGTGAAAAAAGTTGATAAATCAATTGGCGTAACCAAAAAGATCAAAACGTATTGTTTCCCGATTAAATCCGCTTTTAAAAATGACTGATTAATCCAAAACGAACGTTTTCTATATGGTATTTAGACAATAAAAACGTACTATTTCCATTAAATTGGTACGTTTTGGATGATCGCAAATTTTTAAATGCAGAAAAATAGGTTTTTTTTCTTATTCAGCATAACTCATTATACATTAAATTGCTTCTTTTGAAAACCCAGTATTTTGACAAAAGTACATTTTTGGGTTCCCAATTTTTATTCATAATACTTTATTATTTATACTTATTAAATTAAATAACTATAAAAGGTAGAATTTTTCAAACTATTATTTTTATAATAAATTATGATATAATATCGTTTGTATTAAAATATAGTTAGTGTTATTAATATCTTGAAAAAAAATAAACAAACAAAATAAATTAATACGATTAGTGTGGAACTGAAATTAATAATTTGTAGTAATCCAAAGTTTTTTACCTGCTACTCTCGTGTACGAACTTACTTACTATTCCTCAACAATGTACGGAGTTAGGTTGGGTTAAGTTAAAATTTCGAGGATTTTCATATACTTAGGTAACTTAACATTTCCTGTTACCTATTTTTGTTTAACAGTCAACAGTCCAAGAAGAAGGTGACCAAGGTAGATTTGGAAAAGTGTAGGGCCAGAATCAACAAGTGCAACAAGGGTCAATGTCCAGATGAAGCGGACCCGATTTGTGGAAACGACGCTCAGACTTACAAAAATCAATGTCAATTGGACCAGGCCACTTGTTTGTATGTATTTTTATTACAATACATTATATAAAGAATACTTACACATTTTTGAATGTGGATTAAGTTTAGATGTGACTGTAATAATAGGAATTAAAGCGCTAAAAATGAAAGTTATAACTTCCGACAAAAAAAAACATCAGCATTTATTATTATATTATACACGTAGCAATTACGATTTTTAAATGGTCTAAATTTTGAATAAAAATCAAAAATATATTACAGTCAAGTTTAACAAATATAATATTAAAAAATATTATTGCTCAATATTTGTATAAATTTGAAATTAACGTTGATTCTAATGAAGTAGTGACACCTCGAAGAAAAGGATTCATTCTATACATTTTTTTTTTTATATTATCTAATATCTAACAATACGACGACAAATTATTCAAAATTTATTTTAACGTATCATAAATTATTATTTTTTTAAATATTACTATTGAATAATACAACACGATCTGACCTATGAATATTGTATGAATATTTTTACGTAGCATCCACATAGTAAAATCACTCATTTCATGAACTAAATATCCAGATTGTGAAATTCGATGAAAATACATTATGTGGATATCCATTTCATGAAATGGATAATACCTATTGTGTGCTTAGTGTAATTATTATAAAACAATTATTTTTGTTAATTACCTACCAATAAATTATATTATATTATATTTATTAAATTATATTTTAATTTATTTTTCATAAAAAAAAAAAAATAATATAATATTATTATAACATACGAATATAATTGTATATTATATTTTATAAATGATAGTGTTATTTATATAAAGTATAATTTATTATGAAATAATATCCTAATTATTTATTTTTTCACGACAATTGATTATGACATTGACACATTTACATAGCATGTTATTTTTAAAACATGCACTCTGACTTGACTGGCAAGGAGTATTTGCCTTGCATGAACAATATAAAAATCCTTGCCATCCTGAAATTTTTTAAATAATTTCTGGCACTGAAAATTCAAAATTTTTATCAACTTGATCATTAGTGACGAATTTAATTATTAATTTTTTCGAACATTTACTACTGAATCATACTTTAAGTAAACCATATTTTGTTCTAAGCTTATGCAATATTTTTTGTTCTTGTTTCGTAATCACACAAATATGTTTGATGGATCTATAAGTCCCCTATAAACTTTCGGTACTCCAAATAACAACGCATTTATTAATATAAAAATCGTCTGCTCTTTTTTTGTTTCCTAATTAAAAATAATTTTCAATTAAGATCTAAAAGAATATTTTTACCGTATTCTATTATCTACCTTTATAATTTTCATTGCAACTATATAATTTGATTTTTATTACTACGTTTACATTGAATTTATGTTTTCTTACTTAAATCACATAATTGGCAGATAATTTTATTATTTTCAGCAATCCCCAATAGGTTAATTTCCTTTATCTGTAATGTATTTTCGAAATCTTTTTTCGTTGTTAATTTTTTCAACAGATCAAATGGTAAATTTGATGTATTAATCCAATTTTTGGGTCATTTCCAAATAAAGCTTTTTATAGACTACGTCCAAATGTTCAATAAAATAAACTATTTTTTTTGGAATTACACACAAATTAATCCAATGTTCTATTTGACATCCAGATTAAACCTCTCAATACTTCTCTGACTTTGAGGGCGTCTAAGGCATATGTTATAATCAATCTACCTGCAAAAATGAATAATAAAGATATTATTTTATAATAATACTTCATAGGTTATACTATCATTTATAAAATATAATATACGTATGATGTATAAAAAATAAATTAAAATATATTATAAATTATAATATAATGTATTGGTAAATAACAAAAAACTTTGTTTAATAATAGTTACACGTTATTATTGTTACTAAAATTCGTCGCGCTGTGTCGTTTTAGGAGAGGAATCCAAATGGCACATTTGGGCAAGTGCTCGTCACTGCTGTCCACAGAAAAGTGCCCGCAGAGCTGTGAAAACGAACGCGAAGAACCGGTATGCGCGTCCGACGGCAACGTTTACAGGTTAGTTTCACGTTTAATTCGTGCCTTATGTCTTTAAGCTTCTAGTATTCTACCATTGATATTTAAATATATTATATTAAATTAAATAATCATTATTAATACCTACAAATTATATACCATGTTCCCCAAACTTAAAGACAAATGGCGCGAGAAACTAAATAAATATAATTGATCATTTTAACTTTTTTAAGCGTTGAATGAATTACGTAAATTTATGTCTACGAATTTCAGCTTATATATGTGTAAGATGAGGCAAGCAAACAAGACATTTTAAAATGACTATAAAAAATTAATAAAATTTATTCTTTTCAACTAAAAATAAATAAAATAGCATTAGGTACCTAAAAAGTTTTCATTTAATTTTTATAAATTATAAACGTAAGATGGCGTCCATTATGAAGTAAGCATTTTTGTCGAGGTATGAAATTCAAATAATATTTATGATATTTCACAGTATTTTTTGACCAATTTATGTCACCTTTCCTTATATTATTCTAACGGTTTAAAATTATTAAGTATATCTACTTGGTGTTGTTAAGTACCTATACTTTATCTATACTTTACTCTATAGACAAAAATCACAAGTCATTAAACCGAGCAAAAAGAAAGGAAAGAGTGGAATATCACTATTTTACAAGATAATGTGATTTTACAGAGAACTTTAGTTTGTTACGCAGTCCAACAATTCATAATAATTAAGCATTTAGTTATTTATCCGTAGTTATAAAGATAAATTTAACTAATTGATTATGCCTAGTACGTCAATATCAATTACAGGATTTTATACATACTTGAACAACTATTTTGATAAACAAGTATTCTTACAGTAACGAAATTAAATAATTTTTATTCTCTCCTCTATCAAATCAAAAAACTTAAAAATAAAATAAAAACTTAATCTTAATTATTGACTGTAGCTGTCCAATTACTGTGCAGTTAATATAAATGATCAATTTTTTTATTAAAGTAGGTATGAAGGTACTATCTATTTGACGCATTGAATAATTGAATGGATCATTTAACATTTTATAGTTCTCTCTACTATTTTTTACTCGAGTGTTAAATAAAAATTCGTGGCCGCTTCGACAAACATAGTAGAAGTTTAGAAATGGAAATGAATAATTTAATGTTTTTAATAGAGCACGAATTTAGCCCATAAAATAATAATAATCTACTTTTATCAGCCAATCACTAATACATTTTATCGACTTGATAATGATATTACAACACACTGTCTATAGGTCGGAGTGTGATTTGAAGATGAACACATGCGGACAAAAAGTTGTGGCCGTTCCGCCACACCACTGTCCGACAACAGCCTTGTGCCACCAACAATGTGACAAGACCAAAGAGTTTGTGTGCGGATCTGACAACAAGCTGTACAGGAACGAGTGCGAAATGAAACGCGAAAACTGTGGGTGAGTGCACGCTTTGGGCTAAGGCCGCTAAGAGAGTAGTTACACAATCAACATGTTTAAATCGTTATGGCGTTACCTAAATGACACGATGCGCCCACCGGTCCAACGTGCCACATCTATTTTTTATGGTCGGGTCGAACGTAACAAAGAGTTGGCAGAACTTAACACAAATATTTGGAAATTAGGAAAACAAATCAATCATATTTAGCTGAGTACCTTGGAATTACTTGGACTTCGCCGCGGACACCACGCGTTAAAAACATAAATCTTTGCAACGCTATACCTAAGTCCAGTTATCCAGAGTCCTGATGGTCGTTATATTTTCGCAGGAAACACGTATATGTAGTGCCCATGAAGAGGTGTCTGACCGGATTCCAGTTCAAAGGATGCCAGAGAGTGTGTCCGACCCTGTACGACCCGATATGCGGCACCGATCTGAAGACTTACAGCAACGACTGTTTCTTGGAAATGGAGAACTGCCGGTCCCGGTCGCTGGTCAGCAAACAGTATCATGGAGTTTGCGGACAGCCCACCGAAGAGCCCAAAAACTATTTGTACTGATCCTACATAATATTATTATTTATTATAGTATTATAGTATTATACTATTATTCACGATTACGCATACATAATTTATTATTATCATTATTATTCGTAACGATTATAATAATAGTATATGGCGTTTTTTTTTTTCAATATTATACTATGTTTGTATTTTAATTTAATATGATTTTTTTAAACACTAAACGCGCCTAATAACATCTGAGACTCATCAATATATTTCGTGTAAACATAATTTGAAATCCTATATTTTAAACGTTAACCACCTTAAATGTGTTTAAAAATTAAGAATTGATGTCGATGTCACAAGTTGTTTTGTAAATCATTGAACGTATTTCTCTTTCTTTATAAAATTCTTATAACACCAGACGCTTTTTTTTTCTTATATAGACTTAATGACTTAATGTACTACATTATTATAGATAATATTATATAAATGAGCGACATGGCATGAAAATCAATCAAATTCAAACATATTACCTAATACTTAGATTCTAGGGTATTGAATTTTAATTTTAAGATTATTTATTAATTAATAATAATATATTGTGCTGTCAAAAAAAATATTTACTTAAGCATTGACCTATCAAGTTGATAACATTAAGTGTCTTGCCCGCCTTAAGAATATTAAATTTAGCAAGTGCCAATACATATTGTATAAAAATTAAACATATTTATGTAATGACATTTTAACTAAATATACTGGTCAATCAATTTTGGATACTTATAATTGTTATAATTTAATGTCATACCTGCTGTTTCATTTATAACAAATAAATTATGGTAAAATAAAACAGCTGAAAACTGGTATTTGTTTTATTATAAATCATTACAATATTAATTAATGGATCCATACTACAACAACAATAACAATATAATCTTAACTCATGTATTCCTCTTTAATGTTGTCAAACAATTCCCAGATGGGTATGCTTTTCTAAATTTTGTTATGAGATCTTGATCAGTTAGCCTGATACCTTCTACCTGATTTCCAAGCGTTATCCTGTATAAAATATTCCATTTTAATTAAATAATACAATTGATAGCAAAGTATAAACTTACCAGTTGGGTTGAATATTATGAGATCTTCCAAATAATTCAATTTTTCTAGTAAAGGGTGACAATCGTTCTATAATACCATATATTTCATCTGGCTTGTGACTAGTGTCTCGTACTTCTGCAACGATCACATCACAATCCAAACCACAATTTAAATTGGAAGGGTTACCTTTTTTCCCCACCTTAATAATATACAAGTGTTTCACTTAATTGTTAACACTAGATTTAAAACAAAAAGTTTATACTTAAGTTTACAAATATTAAATAACTCACCAAACAATGTTCTTTTCCATGATTCAGCCAGTGACCTGTTCGACCAGTTCTTATTATCCTTTGTAATTGATTGGTTTTTACCCAAATTATTTCGTCTACTCGTTCATAACCCCATAGTTTTAGACATTCTCTACCAAGCTCCATAGCTCTATAAACAATACATATTATTACAATTATAACAATTGAATAGACCTAATATAATTATCATGCTCAAAAATTACCGTCCAGTAACCCATAAAAATATAAGTCCTTCGTCTTGCAACTGTGGAATACCCAATCGCCGCATTTCATCATCAGATAATGTGCCATAAGGAAGTTCCATATGAATATCCCATGGTGGATCAGCCATAATAATAGCAAATTTTCCTAGATTCCACAACATATATGAAGATTAGAAATATTAAATAATAAATTAGACAAATATACACTAAATAATTAAATATTAATTTGTTCCTTACCTAAAAAAGTGAAATCCATATACCTTAAATCACACTGAATCCATTGACATGGAAACAATTCAGACTTATCATTAATCAATCCTTTTTTTGATGGAAAACTATTAAGAGCGTTCACTAAATTCACTTTACTAGTTTCACCATCAACTGCATAGTGAACATATCTAAAACAAATAAATAGCTCAATTTTATAAAAATTAGAAATAATCTGAACTGAATGATTAACCTAAAAATACTTTTATGCCCATTTTTATAGATACTGAGATTGTGAGATTAATGTCAGAAAAGACTAAAATGAAACAAAGACAAAACTAAAAAAATTAATCTGCTTGACTTAAGAAATAAATTATTTAAATGATAAAACTTTCTAACAGTTTAGCTTAACAGTTATAATGAAAGCTCCATATATGATTTCAAGTGATAGATCATCATAATATTCTCTCACAAATACAATTTTACTAACATCTAATATATATTATTAGTAAAACTAGTTAAACATTAAAACAAAGTCAAATCTTACAATCTATACTTCATTCTTAGTTTTTGAATAACTACTTAAAGTACCACAAAGTAATTAAGTATAGAAATTACTTAATTCAAAATTAGTTGTTATATAAAATTAATTATTCTCAAATAAACTTTAATAAACCTTAATTGACAAATATAAGTAACTATAATTTACCAACTCTAATACCTAAAATATTTACTAACAAACATAATTATAATTCAAAATATCAACATTATAGTTGCCTTCTAATTTGTAATTATGAAAAGTTATATAAATAAATCTAAATAAAATAAATTGTTACTTACTTACAAGTATCCATGTGAAAACAAGTATTTAGAAAAGAACAATCACCTAAAGTTTCATCAGTATGCATTTGGATAATTTTTTTGAAATGAAGTTTTTTACAAACATGTCCCTCCATGCAATCTGATCGAGTACCGTGTGGACAAAATTCCATAACATGTGTCCCTTTATATAAAAAAAATACATTATTATTGATTATATATGTTATTGTAATACTTTTAATTACCTCCTTTAGACCGAAATTTTTCACATAAAGATTTTTCTTTAACTGTTTGTTTGGTAAGCAGTTCCATTATTTCTTCACTAACTTTTTTTATTTCTTTTTCTCTAATCGAAGGCATTGAAATAAGGGACTAAACCAACATATTAAAATCAATATTTTGATTATATTTATAAAATTAAATTTTTTAAATTTATATATTTAATTATATCAATTAAAGAATGATGATACAATTAGAAATTATCACTTAAATTTTTTTTTGACTATGATTATTGTATAATAATATAAATAACAATGATAGCATGCAAGAACAATTATTATGATAGATTGTGGAGGATTTAATAGAATCATAATTTAAAACCAAAAACTACTATTAGCAGTCTTCACAGTCACATAGTCGTGTGACAAATATCTATGGATAATTTTCATTTCTCATTAAAAATTTCAAATAGCAATAACATAAAAATGAAGTCTGAATAATTATTTATAATTTCACAATCATTCTAATGTCGATAAAAAATGATACATTAATAACTAAATTTGCCTTACATTCTACTCACCATTATATCATCATCAGACTCATCAGACTTTTTAAAATCAATAGATAACTTTTGTACTTTTGGATTTTTTAAACATTCATCAATTTCTTCATCTGAAAATTGTTTAAAATGTTTAAATTAAGAGTTATCTGTAATGAAATGTACGTAATAATAGTATTAATTACATTCAAGTTGTTTGATTTTATCTTCTATCAGCAAGCGAGATTTTTCGAGACGCAAGTTTGAATCAATTTCTGATGATAAACTATTAGTCATTGCAAGTAATTTTGCATGTTCGGCTGTTAATATTTTCAAACCTTGCTGGCCATCAATTGTAATATTTTTTAAACTAAATAAATAATACTATGAGGCATTATAAATACAATCAATTGTAATAATAATACCTTATAAGATTTTGTGCTGCAAATTTGTACAGCAAATTAACAACAGATGAATGTGATATGTAGGTAGATTCTTTTTTTAAAAGATCAGTCACTAATTGATGAGATGTGATTGGAAGATTAACTGATAGATCAACAAGTATTTCAAGTAACACACGTTCACCGCCTACCTTGTTCCAATCAAAATCTGATTCTTTTTCTGCATTACTCGTGCTCGGCACTAAAGATTCCCCTACAAAATATACAAAATATATAATTAATTTTAAAATAAAAACACTGAACTACTGACACTGACATGTAAGGGCCACTTACTAGAAACAATTGTATCAGAGGTTTCATTTAAAATAACCTGCCGTTCAATTTTTCTCTTCTGAAGTTTTTCTCGCAATGAATTCCGTTTGCTTTTCACAGCTTGAATTTCTTGCCAGGCATCTGACATGATTGAAACATTTAAATTGTAATTCCAACTAAAATGATCGAATTAACTAACACGGAAAAATTTATTTGTATTAATGTACCATATTACAAATTTAAATAAAAATAAAAGCATAAGTACATTTATACATACCACATAAACGCGTATATTTAAATTTAATAAACAATTTTCATTTTAAATTGGGTATTTTTATTTTTCATGATTTATTTAATTTTAAAAGGAACACAATAATAGATTATAAGTAGTAATCAGATTTACTTAATAATAAATAGTAAAATACTTAAAATACACTAGGTATAGTGAATAAAATAAACGTTGAATTTTGAATTCTAGTCGAAACATTATTTCGTGATTACACCAAAAAGTAAACAACAAATTCCACGCAGAAATACAGAACCAGACGAGGTCGGATCTTCCCAGTGATAATAATTATAATTGATAAGCGTTATCAAAGGAATTTATTCTAACCATAGTCGTGCGCAGGGGGTATGCAGCTGCATACCCTGAACGAACACGGAGCTTCACACATACCAAACACCATTTTGCAAATTAAAAGTGTTATATTTCATTTATGTTTTTACACGAAGTTTGTTAGTAATCGTATAGTAAATGTTTCATAATAATAGAAGAAAGGTTAAATACTTTGATGCTAGCAACTAAATGAGTAGGTATAGAACAAGAAATGGCTGTTAATTTAAATCCCGAAGACATCATTGATGATTTCTAAAACTCTATCCAACGAAGAATAATGTTATGATAAATTATAATTTTTATTATCCCCCCCCTGTATCCGCCAAGGCACCAGTGGCAGCTTTCAGCATACCCTGGAAAAGAGGCCTGTGCACGCCTATGAATCTAACATTAAATTTCTTCCAGCGTTTTTTT